TTTGGGCTGGCATGCCAAGGCAGAACTCCATTGTGGCTAACAGTACCAGCGAGCACTACCGTGCAAGCTCTTGTGCCTTCATACAGGGTTGCTTGCAGGTGCCAGGTCCCTATTTGCATAACTAGATAGAATTGATATAAAGACATATCCTTGGTAGATAAGGATGGCAACTTCCAAACAAGCCAAGCCAACCAAATTCACCAGTCACAATTAACTACATGGGAAGGATGCATTGAGTCACAAAACTTCCATAGGAGCTGTGTTTGGATACCTGTTCTGGACAATAGTCCACATTCTTATAAAAACAATCTAGCACACAACTTCCACACTAGCCAAACCAATAACATTCTTCAAAACACAAAACTTCATGGAAGGGATGCAATGAGACCCCAAAATTTGACAGAAACTGTATTCTAAGATCTTTTCCACACAGTATTCTGTATTCCCACAAAATCGCCCAACGCAGTGATTTCCAGGTAAGCCAAATTAACTAATCTCACCAGCCATATATTTCTATACCACCCAATAGCCAAAGCTCTTTCGGGCAATTCACATATAACTGCAAGAGATTTATATAATAAGTTTTAAAACTTTCACAAGAGAGCATGTTTCAGTAATTTCCAGGGAACTATCCTTATTCCAGAAAAAATGCCTATAATGTCAATCGAACTAAACTCACCAGTCACATTATATAAGAGGGATGCAAGTATCCATAAAACTACTAAAAATGTTTTGATACCCATTCTGGAAAATAGTCTGGAACAACAACTTGCAAGAATGATCTGAAGGCATGTAAGGCATGTTGAAGGTCTGAGGCTGGCCTGAGCTTAGAGGAGAGACTACCTGGGAACTTCATGCAGCCACCTTGAGTTCCACAAAGAGAGAAAGATGGGATATAAATTAAGTTAATACATAAGTGAATCAGATCAAGCAAGCTCACCATTCACACATAACTGTATGGGAGCAAAGCAATAAGCCAGAAAACCCCTGTCCCTTCTTCCATGATTATTTTTAGAAGGGTCTGTTAGTCTGTAGGATTTTTAAAAAGTCTTTAGAGTGTCATAAGAAAGCCTAACAATCCTCTGGAATAAGATGTTGTGGATGCTGTCCATGTCATAAGATACATGAAATGCCAACCTTGAATTGCCTGATCTATATGCACTTGGGGAAAAACTGTAAATGATGTTGCAGAGGGAATTGAAATGCAAAAAAGGAAGGAAGGAAGGGCAATGATAATTACCTTATCTGTAATTAATTACCATAATAAACACAATAAATTCATTAGTCTTTAAGGTGCCACAAGACTTCTTTCTGTTTTTACATATTTATTTACACTATCAAAGAAATCTAAAAGATTAGTGAGATGTTACTTACCTTCATAAAAGCTCTTTTGATTCCTTTCAGTAGGGTTAGTCACACAAAAACACATGTTAAGCTAAATATGCTCAATATCCAGGATCCCTCCAGATCCCTTTGCAAAAATTGGCATTTTATTTATTTATTTAATATTTATATTCTGCCCTATAGGCTCAAATAGGCTCTGGGCAGTTTACAAAAATTAAACCCAACTGTGAATAATACTAGGACAACATATTAAATAAAACATGAGAACTAATTTGGGAAGGCATCTTGGCAGAGATACATTTTAAACTCCCTTTTAAACATGGGAATTTTGAAAATCAGATACATTTCTCTGAAAGATCATTTCCCAGCTTAGAGGCAACTACTAAAAAAAATCTTTGGGGTAGTTGACATTAATCTTACAGAAGCGGACTTCAGAAGATTATTCCCAGAGGACCTTAGCTGGAAAGGCAGAATATATGGGCAAACGTGCTCCTAAAGGTGTTCTGGACCCAAGCCATGCAGGACTTGCAGTAATTACCAACAACTTGTGCTGTATCTGGAAAGGTATTGGCAACTACGGCAAAGACCTTAAAATAGGTGATATGTGGTATCTCCATGATGTTCCAGAGACCACCCTGGCTGCCATAATTTGTACTAGTTGTAATTTCTGGAGTAGACACAAAACCTTGTGAACTGTCTTGTGCACTGCAGAAATTGAGCCTAGAAGATACCAATGTGTGCACTACTATTTTAAGTCAATCTCCTCCAGGAAGGGACACAGTTGGTGAATCAGCTGAAGCTGATAGCAAACACCCTTGAGCACAGCTTCTGTCTGAGCTGACATCAGAAGGACTGGAACAAGCAGCATGCACAAACTGTGAACAGAGTCTTTCAGGGGGAGTGTGACCCCATCTAGAACTGGTTGACACACCCCTGCTCCTGGATTTGGCCCTTTATCACCACCATTTTGTCTGAATTCAACTTCAATTTGTCTTTTTCTCATCCAGTTCATTACCAGCTTCAGGCAGTCATTCAAAGAAGGTGTCTCTAGAAGCAGCAGCAGATGATGGTATGAAGAAGTAGATCTGGGTGTCATCAGCATACTAATAACATCCAGCACCACTCCTCTGGATGATCTCTCCCAGCAGCTTCATGTAGATGCTAATATTGGAGACAGAAGCCAGCTCCCTTTTAGAGGAGCAACAGTCTCCAAACATCACCATCTGGAACCAACCTGAGAGGCAGGAATGTAACCACTGCAAAGCAGTGCTACCAATTCCCTACTTCCTCAAATGACCCAGAAGGATACTATGGTCAATACTATTGGAGGCCACTCAGAGATCCAACAGAACCAATAGGAGCACAATCCCTCTGTCAATTCTGAGTTGTAGATCATCTACTGGAGTGACCAAAGCAGTCTCAACTCCATGTCCCACTCTGAAGCCAAATTGAAATGGGTCCGGAAAGTCAGTATCACCTAGGACTGCCTGGAGCTTGAAAGATATTGCCTTCTTGATCACCTTACAGAGAAATGGTATGTACAAGACTGGTCTAAAGCTGTCAAGGTCTAGGGGGTTCAAATTAGGTTTCTTGAGAAGAGGTTGTACAATAGTTTCCCTTAAGGAGGCATTGATGATAAGGCATAATAGCTCCCTCCATGCCTTCACCTACCAGCCAAGATGGACACAGATCAAGGGGGCAGGTAGTTTTGCTCACCAGTTCAAGCACCCTGTCAACATCATCAGGACTTACACATTGAATCTAATCTAGAAAAACCCCAATCACAGAATTGTTGGAGATACCTCAGCGTTGATCTCTACCTCTACAATCACATCAAACTCGGCTCTTCAAAATGGTTGTTAAAAGCATTACAGTGAGCAACTGATGGTGCTAAAGATAGTTTAGGGGGCATTGGGGCTTGAGACAAATCCCTTACCTTACAAAGCTGGACATGAATTTGCACAGGTGACACAAGCAGAGATGAAACTCTTCTTTGTCACTCATATCGCCACCCCATAGAAGTGAAGATGCTCTCTATAAAGTGTTTTTTCAGTTGTCATCTTTCCTGCTTCATATGTCAGAGTTCCTCTGTTTACCAGGGAGCTCTTTTGGAAGCAGGACAGAGAGGATGCTAAGGAGCAATTGTATAAAAAGCTGTAGTTAACTCCTGATTCCATTTTGTGACTAGGGACACAACAGGATCACTGGCAGAACTGGCCAAAGAACCCCTTAGGGCTGACTGGAAACCAATTAGATGCATAAGTCTTCAGGAGCTGACCATTCTAATATGTCCATTATTTCTACAGGGGCTGTGATCTTAGTCTTGACCCGGTAATGATCTGACCAAACCAAGATTGAGGGTACAGAGACCTGAGTCTTTAAAAACAGCTGTTCAGAGCCAAATTTAGCATCAAGTGTTTCCCAGCAGTATGTGTGGCTCCAGAGACTAACTGGGACAAGCCCATGGCTTCCATGGTCAATATAAATTTATGGGCAGCACCAGACAAATGGGACTCAAAGCAACATGGAAATTCCCCAGGATTAACAATCTGGTGGGGGGAATCCAACACCAGTTCTGAGACCAGTTCTGTGAGTTTGGCCAGATACTCTGCTAGGGAACTAGGTGGTCTGTATCTGAGAAGAATCCCCAGACTGTCTCTGAACCCCAGCTTCAAGTACACGCAATGTATTTCAGAACCTTAACAGGGTACCTGGTCAAAGGGATGGTATTCTTATCAATCACTGCCACACCACCTTGCTCAAGTTCCCTTACCTGCTCCACACCCCACAGCCAGCTGGGAGAGTCTGTGCCCATATGTACTACTACCTTCTACCAGGCAGTTATCCCAGGGTCGACCCCTTCATTGCATTGCATAAGTCATTCTCCAGCCCAGGAACAGAGACTTATCTTAGGGATGTGTTACATAATTTTTGTTAGAAAATCAGTGATTTCATAATTAGCAGGTCTGTAATGAATACCATCTGTATTTGGTGAATTATAATTTTTCAATTTGTCAGTAAGGGTTCTGTGGATATTGTGTATTATGTCAGTCCCATCTAGTTGAATCATGTTGGTTAGGCTAGCTTGGAAATTGGTACGCAGGTTGCTATTTCAAAAATGCAGATTATTGCCCCAAAGTGAGCCAAAATGGACCTTCTCTAAAAGCATTATGGTTGATAGCATTCATTCCATAGGTATGATTGCTGAATCTAGATGGCTAGATGGCTATCTCAGACATGGGTCTCCCAAAGTCCTGAACATTACTTCTTTGGAATTATTGTTGGTTATAGCGTCATTCACATGTAGTCAGCTGTAGTTGGCTAGTTTGGGTAACTGGGAAGTTTTTGTGCCATGCTATTTTATGAAATATGGGTTATTGGCGAGAATGCTGCCATAATGTGTTTTCTGTTAATGTTTTTCAGGCTGCTATGCAGGGCCCATCTATTCCTTTATGAATGGCAGATTTGGCTTAGACAGAGGCTAGTCTTTCAGATTGCTCTCGTGGAGAACAGCGTATTTTCTTCCTTTTTTTTCCAGAGGGAAACAGAGGGGCGGGAAATCCATTCATTGGAGCAAGAGCCGCACAGTGAGGCATCATCACTCTGCGACCTGCGACGGAAGCCGTCAAAAAAAGGACGGGGAAATACCGGTGAACACTGCGGTGACAGGCATTAGCAAGTGCGGGCCAACAATACGTTAGGAATGGTTGTGTTTACTTTAACCATCATTCGGCAGTGAGTAGTGTGATTTTTCCCCCTTCTTTCGATCGCTACCTGATCCCCCCCCCCCCCCCCCCCAATTTACAGCGCCAGCCGGGTAAGCGCTTGGGACAGCCGCTCCTGCATGATTATTCCACTTCAGCGCAGCTTCTCTGTAACCAGCCAACTTCTTCCCTTATGTTTCATGGTTTAATTACATGTGGTGTTCAAACATGTATTTGAAAAAGTTTTCCCAATACAGCAACTTTTATTTTGAAACAAAAACAACTGATTTGATCAGTAGAGATCAAACTGTAAACAGCAACTGTTCCATTAAATAGTAACTTCCTCTTTTATAGCCTGCAAGAGAGGCTGTAAAAGAAAAGTCAGTAACTGCTCCTTCCTCCTTTCTCTTCCTTACTATCTCTAGCAAACAGGGCAAGGAGGGTTGGGCTCATAGGACTGATTCAATCAGAGCATGGACCAGCTTACTCGCCTCTTTTTCTTTGAGCAGTGCACCATAGAAACTTAGTTACTGAAGGAGCATTCACTGTGTCTTCTCACTCACCCTGTCCCTTCACATAGTATAGTTCTGGGGATTAAGACCAACTAACTATGTCTTCACCATCCAGTAACAGGGTGAGTGAGTGAGCAAGGTCCTTCTTTCTATTTCCTGGATAGCTAAGCTGAATTCATTTCTTGCCTTTGCTGAAAGAGACAAGGTATGCTGTCTGTTAGAGTTTCAGATCAGCAAGCCCAGGGAATGGCAGCCATCACTTGCACAAGTCTGTCTGCCAAGAGCAGGAAAAAGTGAGTGACTTCTTTTCACTCCCTCCTCCCCCACATAGCATGTTTCAATTGCTCCTACATCCACTCACTTGCTTTTAGGCAAGTGAGGAAGGGGAGATTTGGAGTCTGGGTCTGTCTAGAGCTATTGTTCAAGCAGTGAGCTCTGCTCACTTACCCTGTCTTTGGGTGGTGCAGAATATACAATTGGTTATGGAAGGGGAAGATATCATATCCTTTTACTTGCTCAGCCGTATTCTCTCTCCCTCCAATAGTGAGACTTCTGTCCAGTGTAACAAATCTTCCCTGTTATGATGCTCAGAGAGAGAAAAAGAGAGATGATGAGCAAGATAAGGCATCAGTTGTTCCTTGCAGGAAATGTTACTGCCTTCACATTGCCTTGCTGGTCAGTAGCAAGAAGAACTGGGCAAGTAATGGTTATGGATGTCTCTATTCACTTGCCTGGTTTCTTCCTCTCTGGTGTGTTATTTACTTGCTCATTTTATCTCTTTGGGCATGAAATATTGGACTTATTGGGAGGGATGTGTCATCCAGAAGGAGGGAAGGAGCAGGAAGAGACACTGGCATGCTCATTTACTTTGTCTACACACTTAATCTTTCACACCGAAAGGAGAAAATCAAGTGAGCAAAAGGTAGGAGAAGAATCATTTCTGTGCACTCACACATCCTCTCACTAGGTTGTGTGGAGGATGGGGCAAGTTGGGCACAATTCTCACCACTATACCATACAGCAAGAATGAGAGAGGGGAGGGAGATTGTAGCTGGTGAGGAAGAATGAGATGGCTGCTGCTGGCAGTGCCTATCCTTGTAGTTGCACTGCCCAGAGATATGGTAAGACAGTTATTTGTCCTTTTTCTCTAGACAATAGGTGGACCCATTTCAACCTATCAAGGTACCCAGAGACAGTTAAGAGAGTGGAGGGAGGAGCAGCTGTTGCCTGCTCTGGTTTGTACACTTTGTTGTCCTCCCACAGAAGTGATAAAGCTCAGAGGAAAAGGTGCCAACAGGTCTGGGGATCTTAGGCCTTCTTGGCTGGGAGTCCCTCTTTCTATTTATTTTTATGCTCTGCTGATGAGGTAGTGGAAAAGAGGAGGGATTGCTATTTACTTTTTTATTTTCATAAAAAAGAAATAAGATACAAAAAGATAGGAAAGAAAAAGGATACCAAGGGATATTAATGAAATAGAGCATATAATTTCAATATCTAACCTGTTCATGAGAGAGGAAAATTTCTATCTCCTGTAGCCACAGTTACATCAATCAATTCCTGCTATTTACTGTTTACTGTTTGCTTTTTCCTCATCTCCCTTGAGTGCAGGAGGCTAGCTAATGCTGGGAAAGGCCCTGCCCCCAGAGCTGGGAAGACAGACTTTGATCTGAACTTCTGAGAGGAGGTGGGGTCTTCCCCAAAGCTCTAGTTCATTCTTCTGCCTTGTGGTGGGAGACCAAAATAAAAAAGTAGAGGAAAAGGAAAGAGAAAGAAAATGAAAAAGAAAAATGAAGAGGAGGAGAAAGAGCTAACCCAAGAGGCTCAGCAGCAGAGAAGAGTCCTGGCTTAATCAGGAGGAAGAAGATCTTCACCCCTCTACTTCCTTCCACTGGAAAATGTTCAGTGGCCAACACTTGTGGCTTCCTCTTATGGACACTCTAGCTCCTTTGGCTCCTCTGCTAGACCCCAGGGACAGTCCCAGCTGATCCATCTTCTAGGTCTCTCTCACATGACTCCACTGGACATAGTTCAGCAGACAGATCTCCACATTACTCTCCAGTCCTTTTTGAGTCCCAAGAAGTAAGAGAGGGGTCATATTGATGGTGCTTAAGGAAGCCTATCACCACATGAGGATGGGGGCCCCACTAGGAACTAGAAGATTTTGGGAAGGCCATGAGCAGCTCTCCCAGATCCAAGCATAGCTCCATGAAAGGGGAGAGACATTTTACCCACACTCACAGGTGTGGTTCTGTTTGCCCAGCTACAGGGAGTGCTGCCACAGCAGGCCCCACCCTTCAGGGACACTGCAATATCACTGGTGGTCAGCTTCCTCCTCAGAGTTGAAGGCAGGGTAAGGGGCTTTCCAGATAGCTCCAGAAACAGAACTTTCTTTCCTTCACAATAGACCTAGTCAATCCTCACAGCAGACTTGTGACAAGGGTAGGCAATGTTCTCCATCCTCCACTTACTCCTCTGACTCCTGGACCCACTTGTCCCTCTCCCCTAATCTGTAACCTCTTCAGACATGGATGAGGGGGAGCTCACCAATGGGACAAGCAGCCTCAAAGCAACCTATTTCTATCAGAGGTCTTTCCAGATCTGATTTCCAGTGCCCTGAAAATTCTGGAGCTGATGGACCAAGAGGACAGGTATGGCAGTAGTCTTTCTTGCAGCAGCCCCCTCTCCCACCCAAAGCAGAATTAGCTTTGCCAGGGAACGAAGCCCAGCCCCACATGATGAGCAACATCCTTCAGTAGGAGGGAGATGACATGCTATTTCATGTGCTTGGAGAAAGCTGTTTTGTGACCACTGAGTAACCTGTTCAGGACAGTTACTCACTAGAATTCAGGAATCATAAAATAGGAAGGGGGCAGAGGGCCATTGGGTCCAGTCCCCTGCCCAGTGCAGGTCTCCAAGTTAAACGATCCTTCTCAGAAGATTCTCAGGGACAGATTCTTCAGTGCTCACTGTGTCACAACACCCGAGGACCATTGCAACTATCCAACATCTGCTACAGTTGTGAACAAAAGAAGGAAGGGTATCTTCTCATTTTTTGCTGTTCCAAGGTTGGAAGGAAGGGTCTGGCTCATCCAGGACCTTATTGCTGCCTCAAAAAGCAGAAATTCATGGAGACTCTCAGATTCATAAAGGAATGCCTCAGGAAATGGGATTTCCTAACCTCACTAGATCTGTGGTATATCTGTGGTATAATCAAAGCAGTGCAGATCGGAAATGATGAAATTTTCTGCATTATATATTATATACAAAACATTATCTTTAACAAACCCATAGCTTTAAGTGGGACTACCTTGGAACAATAATCTGTGCACCTTGTGTTTGTAGACAATCCTTTGGTAAGACCTTCATCCAGCAACAGGATCTTCATTTTCAGAAATTATTTCTTTGCTATTTGGACAATGGGGAGAATCGGGTCCAAAAATAACCAGAATTGCTTGGAAAAAAATGAAAATGTAATGAAGACAATAACAGTGATGAGAAAATTTGCAGACTTTTGTCTCACAAACACTGGGTTGTGGTAGAATCAACTATTGTAGGTAACGTTTTGAAAAGCATATTTTAAAAGTAACACAAACCTTATGCTTCTGTCACATTACAGTACTGTATAAAGCTAAGTTGGATAAAATCTTTTAAACTATAAAATTTGCTGGGAAACTAAAATTAGTATTTTAATGGTTTTAACAGTCACTTTTGATTTGATTTATTTTTATTGGTTATATATTGTGTTATTATATTGTGGTACTGATTTATTGGACTTTGATTTTAATGGTTGTAAACTTCCTGAGAAGTTATACATGTAAAAGTTTTAAATAAATAAATACTCATCTTCAGCCACTCATTCCATTACAAGTGTCTCTTCTTTAGCTACAGCAGAAGCCAGTTAGCAGCCTAGCCACAGTGCCATGCATCTTCACAACAATCCTTCTCGCTCCAGTGGCATTGCTTTGTACTGGAGCTATCCAGATCTGCCTCCCACCTCAGTAGCTTGGCAATCCATTCTCCTACTGAGGAATGTAGCCTTCACAACATGAACACTGCCTAGACAATTGTTCAGCATTTGGGGGTTTTGATCAATGACTCTCACTGAACCAGTCATATCTTCACCTAGGAGTAACTCTGAACTCCTTTGGGTATCTCAGTAGATAGGCTGCACTCAGTGAGTCAGCTGGCCTCCTCCATCTAAGCCAGATAGCATACACAGGGCTCTAATGAAGCAATGGACATGATGGTTCTTTGGTAAGATACAACAAATTGGCAATGAAGAATGGTTCTGGGGTTTGTTTGTTTGTTTGTTTGTTTTTTGCCTTGGAACCCACCTGTACTTTTTTTGCAAAGCCCAAGTGAACCTCCAATTTCTTTTACTTCTTGGATCCAGATGTTTGAGAACTACTTGCTTGCAATTAGTGACACACCTGTGTCTGAAGAAAGGAAACTTGCACTGTTTTATCCACTCCTTGGGAATAGAAGGGCAGTGCATTTTTTACACATTTCCTCTCGGTGATGATAAATATGAGACTACTCTTGCTGCATTGAAGGTTTTTTTTTTTTTTTTTGCATGACTGAAGTGAACATGGTAGCTAATCTTTATAAATTTCTTCAGGATGAGTAGATGCTGGGTGAGTCAATATTACAATATATTGCTGCTTTGAGAGACCTAATTGACTCCTGTGAGTTTGGAATGTTGGCTGATGAGATTTTTAAAGACCAGCTTGTTGAAAAAGTAAATGCGCCTCATTTAAGAGAATGGCTTCTTTTAGAATCAGAACTTTCTTTGGACAATGCTGTAAGTATTACAACCTAAACTGAAGAAGTTTTGAATGAAGCTAAGATAACATTCAGAATGTGGGTACTGGAGATAAAGTGCAAAATGTAGATTTCTTGCAGAGAGCATCAATTGAAGTTCAGGGCAATCTACTGAACAAAAACAGAGTCATCAAAACAGAGTTTGGGAAAAGACATGTTTTCATTGTTGTTCTACAACGCACCTTGCAAGTTATTTTAAATGTCCTGCTAAAGCAGCTCAGTGTAATTATTGTATAAAAGGGACATTTGCCTAAGACTTGTCATAGTCAACAAACTAATCAACAAGTGCATGTAATATTGCTGCCTGACATGAATGTTTTAAGTGTGGATATGAGTAAATCTATACTTTTACCAGGAAGGATTATGTGTAAAGATTTCTGTTATTTCTTCTATGAAGACTCAGGATATTGAGCTGATATTTTCTATATTATTTGACTTGCGTTATGTGCAATATTTTAAGAATGAAACCAAAGCTTTAATTGGCATGTTATTTAAAAAATCACATACCTTTATGTGGTTGTTTACCTGCAGAAGTAACCTTTGGTACAAGTTGTGTGTTGGCAGTATTTTATACTGTGCCTAATGGTACTTCTATTCTTGGTAGGAATTTATTTGCAGTATTACATTTGATGGTAGTGGATAGGTTTATTACTGCACACCAATCAGATACTAAAAGCCTTCATAATGGCTAATTTCAGTTGTGAGTGGGGGTAATCTTGAACAGGAACTTGGTTGTGCAAGGGAATTTACTCATAAAGTGAAAGTGAAACCTAATGTGATCCTTCTGCAACAGAAGTTATGACAGCTACCATATTTTGTTAAAGATACTGCTTCAGAGAAGCTTAAGAAATTGGTTGCAGAAGTGTTGTTTTAAGCGTGCTTCAGTCCCTTCTGCTTTTCAAAAAATGTCTTTGATACCCCAGGATCAGAAGGGAGACCAGTTTTATTCAGATGATACTATTGTACTTTGAAATGCAAGTTAGTTTGTTAGAGCAGCTGCGTTGAGACTTGATATGGGAAAATGTAAATTTGAGTGGATAGAACTTTCCTTGTCACAGCTGCTGGGTTAAAACCAGATTTAGATCACATTGAGACAATTGTATGGGTACCATCTCCAACTGGTTTGCAGAGTTTGTGCTCTTTCTTAGATCTTACCTCATGGTATGCAAAATTTGTTCTAAATTATTCTTTGGTTATAGAACCACTTAGACTGTTATTGAGTGGAAATTCAGGTCTGGTTAGGACTAATAGTATAAAAGCCTAATAATATAAAAGCCTTGATTGTTCATAGTCCAGCTTTGGCAATATATGATCTGGCATTGCCTACAATTGTAATAGCTGATGCTTCTGAATATGGATTGGGAGCTGTGTTGACTCAGCTTTATGCAGACAGGACTGAAAAGACTGTTGCATTTGCATTAAGAAGACTCACACAGGCTGAGAGAGGAAGTATTTGGTTGTTGAGAAGGAAGCGCTTGCTTGTGTTTGGGCAGTAGAAAGAGGAACTTTTTTGTGGGGCCACCCATTTAAATTACATACCACAGTCTGTTGACAATATTATTTACATCAAAAGGATTAGGACAGACTGGAAATTGAATTTTTAGATGGTCAGCAGGGTTGCTTTCTTTTACCTATGAAATAGTGTACAAGCCTGGAACACAAAATTTGGCAGCTGATTGTTGGTCTTGGTTGTTGCCTGAAGTTATGTTGCCTAAAGAGGAGGTAGAAATTGTGGCACTTCCTTGAGAGACCTCTGTTGCAGTAACACAGAAGAAATTTCAAACTGCATGTTTAGCATGTCCAGTTCAGCAAAAGCTAAGAGTATTTTTGAGGAGTAAATGGCCTAATGATGTGAAGATGCTTGCTCCAGTGTTGTCTTATTTCAGAATGCTTGATGAGCTTTCATTACATAATGGTTGCATTTTATGAGAAGCACATCAAATTCTGAAGAATTGTAGCCAGCATTTATGCATCTTGCTCATGACAGACATCAAGGAATTGTGTGGACTAAACAACAATTGTGAGATCTGTATTGGTGTCTAGGGATGGATTCTTAGTGGAAACAGCTATTAAAGCTTGTGCTATCTGTCAGTTACATGACAAGACAGCAAGAACATATTCAGTGCTGTTGTAGCCAGTTCCATTTCCACAGCTGGCATGGGAAAAGCTGGCAGTTGATATTGTCGGCCCCTTTGATACTGATCCCATTGGTTGTGGCTATGCTAGAACATAAACAGATTATTTTAGTAAATGACCAGAACAGCCTTTACATCACAAGCCACTTCTGCTGATGTGATAAAGTTTCTGTCTACAGTTTTTCGCAGGGAAGGCGACCCTAAAGAGTTAATTTCTGATAATGGTGCTCAGTTGACTTCCTTGGAATTTGAAAGCTTTCTCATGGAATGCAATATCATGCATAGAAAGTCATCCGGGGAAAAAGGTGCCATGCAGAGGTGGGTCATGACCATTTTCCCTCTGCAGTGGAGGGCAGGACAGGAGCAAAGCTCAGGGAACCAAGATTTAGGGCAGATGCCACGAAGTACTTCCTGATGGTCAGGACCCTTAGGGTATGGAATGGGCTTCCACAGGAGGTGGTTGAAGCCTCAACAGTGAGGGTGTTCAAGGACAGGCTGGACATGCACATGGTAGGCATGTCATGAGCGGAACCAGCTGGAGCCGGGGGTCAGACTAGATGGCTCAGGAGGCCCCTTCTGACTCACTCTGTTTCTATCTGTGTACTATTCACAAGCAAATGGAAAAATTGAACAATTTAATAGAAGTCTAAAAGACAGCTAAATTGGAGGGTAAGTCATGTATTTCTTTTACTACTGACTTTCTGCAGGAATACAAAGCAACATGACTTGCCATAGCACAAAGATCACCAGCAGAATTATTACATGGGAGAGAGACAGGCACTAAGTTAAATGTTGCTGGACTTTCAAAGACAAGCATTGCTGTATTGAACTCTGAGCTGAAAGAGAAAATGATTCAAACACAAGAAAAATCTAAGGCTTATACAGATAAGTACTGAGGTGCTAAAGATCTTAAATCTGAATGTGTGTGGGAGGTTTTTGGTAAGGGTAAGACCTGGAATTCTGCAGAAAGGAGAATGTAAATTTACCTTACCTCTTAAGATTTTGTAAAAGAAAGGACCTCATAAATTGTCTGATGGGCATATATGGAATTAGTTTATCCCAGGAGGAATAAAATAGCGAGGGGTGTGTGCAGATATAGTAATGTGTTGTTTTAACTTGTTGTGGTCTTGAATAAATGTTGATTCAGTATTTGGAGGAGAGGCTTGGGTAAGACACAACAAAGGGTAACAGGAAGGAGAAATCTTCCTTTTATTACCTTTAGGGTGAACACCTGCTGTTTCAGTGCTCTCACATTTTCTTCTAAAAGGGTTACTAGCTTGCAGTTTCATGTGCATGCCATGTTGTTCTTAGGTAAGAAAACAAACATTGCACAGTTGTTGCAGGTCTCCCTCACTGTGGAATTGTCTTGGTCTATTGTTTGTGTAGCCTTAGTAATTCTGTTGTGACAACTGATGTTTTCCTCTGTCTTCATTAAAGGTTTCCTACTAGTAAATGGGACTGTGTTACAAGAAGGAAAACAAGTGTAAGGGGGAATTAAAGGGAAAGAAAGAAGAGAAAAGGAGGAGAAAAATGTTAGGAACCTCCCTTGTGAACTGCCCTGCTGAACTTTACCACCACACTCTTGTTTTCTCTCTCCCTGTTTGTTTGCTCCCTGTGAGCTTGGCTGCTTGTGTTCCAGGGGTCCTAGACCAGCTGGGGCAGCTTGCTCTGCTCTTCTAGGAGTCAGGAACCAGAGATGCAGAACCTCAGGCCTGTGAGCCTAACCGGGCCTGCAGGCCACCACAGTCCAGCCTGTGCTGCCTCTTGGGGTTTCTTTAGAGGAGAGGGCTTAGACTTCAAACTCTAGCCCTGGAAGAATTCCCTAGAAGGTTATCCTGATACCTAGTTATAGATAGGACATAACAGTGAGGATTCTGAGTGCCAGCAACAGAAAACCTCACTAATCTCTCCATTTTTACATTATAATAGTGGGGAATGCCAGATAATAGTGGGGAACGCCAGATAGCCTAGGTCTGAATCACCAGTGCAAGGGAGAATGCCTGCTGTTTCCCATGTGCAAGAGAATGCCAACTCCCATCCTCCCTTCATCCTCCTTCATATTTCACATTGGCAACAGCAGTGAAAATGAGCATGGTGGAACTTATTTGCATGGGGAAGTGTAGCCTCTTCTCGTGTATAGGTGGCTTCCAACAACCTCAGCCCTTCAGACCTGCTGCTACCTCGGATCTGAGTTTAGATTGCAGTGGATATCCAGGAGAGCAGCTGTTCTTCCCTATGCAGGCAAGTCTCAATGTCCAGGGTGCACCCTGCAATCTTCCTGCTGCCTTTGATCTCAGATTACATGTACCAGTGAGGTGAGGGCAGCCCATAATTTGTGCTTAGAGAAGGTACACTTCCATGCCTTCCAGGATGAAGAAGAAGGAAGAAAGGGGGGAATGATAAGGATGGGGTGATGTCCTAGATATTATCTAGCCTGTGGGATGCAGGATGCTTCCCTACTGGAGCTCTTCATCCCCGCTGTAGAAATTTGCATTGCATATCTCTCTGATGGATCTATTAAATAGAAATGGGTAGATTTCAAGCTATCACCTTTTTTGTCCCATGTTAAGCTTCAAATCTTCCTTGTAAGCATTTACCAACAAGGTACTACAACTCATATGATTTACCTTTGAAATGTGGCATTTTTCAGGAAGTACCTATTTCTCAGCTTTGATCAACATTTTAAGTTGAGAGGTGTAAAACAGGACCAAGCCTATGGTCTGAAGGTGTATAATGAAGCAACCTTGATGAAGCCAAGCAGATGTAGATCTAGTCAGTTCTTGCATAGAGCACCATTTGGGTACTCTATATTATTTTGAATTCTGTCAAAGAAATAATATAAATAATATAATATAAATATAAAATAAACATCTAGACAGCTTACAGCAAGATTCTCACCAAAGGGGTAAGCATGGCCTCTTAGCTGGACTAGTGCAATTACATGTATACTAGTAAATAAAGTATTGAATCAGCCATGAGTCTTGCCTTGCCTCCCATGTTTCAGGAAGGTTTATATAGAGAGAGTGGGGGAATTGTGTGTGTTGGCTAACACCAATAGGTACCATTCACAACCAACTTCTGCTACCACATAAATAAATAAAAATAAATGAATTCAGCGAGGCATCTTCTAAATTGTGTCTGCATGTTATGTCAGTCTTCTTTCTAATACAGACTTTCTTCTCATTTTTGAAGTATTTTGTCTTTTTCAGTGGGGAAACAAGATACAACAAAGAGAAGATTCTTCAAGGTTAGTATCTCTTAGAAACATAGAAACAGAGAGAGTCAGAAGGGGCCTCCTGGGCCATCTAGTTTGACCCCTGGCTCCAGCCTGCTGCACTCATGACTTTCCTACCATGTGCACGTCCAGCCTGTCTTTAAACACCCTCACCACTGGGGCTTCAACCACCTCCCATGGAATCCTATTCCATACCCTAGGGGTCCTAACCGTCAGGAAGTACTTCCTGGTATCCACCCTAAATCTTGGTTCCCTGAGTTTTGTCCCATTGGAACACACACTGCCCTCTACTACAGAGAAAAAAAGGTCATGACCCACCTTTGCGTGGCACCCCCTCACATACCTGTATGTCACTAACAGGTTCCCTCTGAGTCTCCTCATCTTAAGGCTGAGAAGACCCAGCTCCCTCAGTGTCATGCCTTATTGCTCGACAGAGGTGTTGGCACGTGAGAGAGGGCCTGAAGCTCACAGTGAGGGTCAGGCGTTGGAACAAGAAGATTTATACTTGGTGCCCAGAGCCCAAACGGCCCCCCTGCAACCAGACTCCAAGGCTTCCTTGCAAGTAGCCTCCCTGCATCCTGGCTCTGAGTTGCTGGAGCAGGGTGCAGCTTCCCTTCGTGTAGACTCCGAGGTGTTTGAACAAGTTGCCCCCCCCCCCGCCTCCAGACTCTGAAGCTGCTAGGCTGAGTCCTGGAGAACAGGAAGACATAACAGGAAATTTACAGAACACCCAACTCCGGAGAAGATAGCAGAGGCTAGACCAACTGGAACGGCAGGAGAGAAGTTTGTCCCACCCACGGGCAGAGAAACGTGAGAGGAGGTTAAGGTCCACGTGACTTTCTTCCTCTTAGTTCAGAAAGGAGGGGGCAACTGAGCTGCTAGGAGCTCGTTGCCAGAGCTTATCCGTTGCATCATAAATCTTGTAGTAAATAGTAATAAAAGTCCTAAGTTTTATTGCTGACTGCTGTGTGAGTTAATCGGAGGTGTGAGTTATGGCCTCACGACACTCAGTCTCTCCACATAATTCTTAGTTTGCAAACCAGCCTCCATCCTAGTGGCCCTTCGCTGCATTGATTCCAACCTTGCTATATATCCCTTTTGTAATGAGGGACCCACAGCTGAACACAGTGTTCTAGCTGCAGGTGCACCAGAGTCATATAGTGTGGCAGTAATACCTCTCAACCTAGAAGCTACGCTACTGGCTATACATCCAAGGGTGGCATTCGCCCTTTTGGCCACTGCATCACACTGCTGGCTCATATTTAGCCTGTAGTTGGCCAGCACCCTGAGATCCTTTTCAGAAGGGCTGCTCTCTAGTCACTTGTCCCCTAACCTGTACTTATGACATGCATTCCTATGTCCCAAGTGCAACACCTTGCACTTATCCACATTGAATGCCATCCTGTTGTCTCCTGCCCACTTCCATAGCCTGTCCAGATCCTTTTGGATTTGGAGTCCCTGCTCCTCAGTTGCAGCCACTGCCCCATCTGCAAATTTGATCAGCAGGCTTGGCGCTTTGTCAAAGGCCTTGCTGAAATCCAGGTAAACCACATCTATCATGTCTTCTCCATCTAGCCACCTCGAAACCTTGTCCTAGAATTCCACATGATTCATTTGGTAGGACCTGATTTTGCAGAAACCGTGTTGCGTGGCCACCAACCTCCCCGATGCAGGGACTCCAGAGCATTTCTGTCATGAGCCCTTTCCATTGTCTTTCCCACATGTGCCCCCTCTGTTAAGCTTTTTGGAGACCACTGACACCACACTCTAATCCTCTGGAACCTCTCCTGTTCTCCAGGAGGCCTCAAAAATTGAGGCCAGCAGAACTCTTCTGCTACTACTCTTAAAATTATAGATGACAGTCACTTTTAGTGTAACATTTTTGCTACCTTTATTAAATGCTGCAACATTCCTAGCCTATCTTTTCATAATCTATTAATTTTTTTTAAAGTTCTTGTTCTTAGTCCAGGAGTGCACACGTGCAACAGCAGCTTATTGCTCTATGTGTATTTTCTTGAATATGCAAGGACTTGGTCAGACATTTAGTACACTTGTTTGTGCTTACAGTTTCTTAAGCAGCCAGTATAGTTATATATTCTGTGCACTTCTGGCCCTAACTAGATTGAGGCATAATATAAAATGTATAGGAATTTTGAAACTATGAGAAATTCCTTTTCTCTAGGGGGGAGTATTTAGAAATGAATAGAAAATTGAAATTGAAATACATTTGCATTGTTATTCATTTTAGACCTATTTTAGTATTTTGAGCATATGGAAGTTCTAAGTATAATGTAGCATAAAAATAGTGCTGTTTGCTGTATCTGTTAAATGTAGAAATACAAATCTATTCATTCAAACAATAATTGCAGATTTATCCAGAGATGGAGTAGCAGTCTGCTGCATCTTATAGTACTTGTTTTTATCACCTGGGAACAGAGTCTAAACCATCAACAATGTAGTATACAAAAGGTTTTTAAAAATATCTGGGCTTAGAAACAGTATGCATGAGCAGATTTTTTAAGAACCATAAACAATACAAGATACTTTGCAACAATATGAGGTGACCAGGGAATGACTGCACACCATAAGCAATGATCTCTGTTTCATAATGTTTTGGGCTGAGCAATCTTAGCTTCAACACAGGAGAATTCCAACATCAGAGCTGGGACTCTGTGCTCAGACTGTGCCCTCCCCTCACACATACATTTAGAGCAGATGTGGAAAAAAAGTGCATTGGCTGGTTTTCCAAAGTTTCAAAGCAGATTTCAGAGAAGCAAATTAAGGGATTTTCTGAGGGCAGGAGTGGAAGAGAGCAGTAGTGCCTCAGCTTCCCTCCTGTTTCAAAGCATAGCATTTAGACAGCCAAAACTGGCCCTCTAGCTGCTTTGCAGAGTGAGAAGAGTGTAGAGGCAGCCTCTGCCTCCAAGCTTTAAGAAAGATGCAGGTAAATTAGAAAGGGACCAGCAGAGGGCAACAAAAATGATCCAGGGTTTGGAAACTCTGCCCTATGAGGAGAGACTGAGAGAATTGGGCATGTTCAGCCTTGAGAAGACTGAGGAAGGACATAATATCCCTCTATATTTACAGTGGTGCCTTGTAGCTTGAACAACTCTAAGAGTGAGGTTGGAACCCTTATGATATTACCTGCTTTCAGAAAGGTGGTCTGAAGCCCTAATCCTTCCACTTTACCAACCTGTGCATTCATTTTCCCTATTCCCAAATTCTCTACAGATGTAAACATAAATTGTTAAGGTTTGCCTTAACAATTTGGCCTATCTTCATTTGCAGGACAGGGTATAGATGAGCCCCTTTCTGAGACAGGCTTCAAACAAGCAAATGCTGCTGGTATCTTTCTGAGTAATGTCAGATTTACTCATGTCTTCGCAAGCGATCTGATTCGGGCAAAACAGGTAAGTATGCTGTACAATATATATGAAATTATACAAGAACAGAATTTCTAGTGTTTGTTTTCTGGAATTCATTTTGTGGGAATTATACTATAGATCTGTAAAAATAAATGTGTAGGTCAAAAACATTTGTGCTACAGGTACAGATTGTATGTATCTTCAATAAGTACATGTTGCAATCCCCAGATAATACTTGACCTCCAGCAAGACAGATGGGAACAGCCAGCTTCAGTCAGGCTGCTTGTGGGATGAGCCAGGGGAAAATGTGGGGCAATTACACTGGCCAGAGACATAGCTGGAGAGTGTAAGCAGAATGGTAACTAGAAGGGCTCCAGTGACTGTCCTTACCATGAGGCCTTTGAGTTAATTCACAGCTTGCTGTACTTTAAAAGGCAGAAAGGGCCAGGGAGGATGTGGGTGTCCTGGCACTGTCTATAGCTGCAACAGAGTTCTGAATAAGGAAGGAGTTCGTAGGTATGTACACCTTCTTTTACAGATTCATATAACACATTTTATAGACACCAAAATTAAAAGCAGGAAGCTTGATGCATCTCTACATATCAGAATGAAATCCTTCATATGTGACAAACACCGGATCTAGTTCTAACAAGAATTAGTCTTCCTCAGTGATCTAGTATTATCACTACTTTCACAATATAGTGAAGAGCAGCACTTGTGAAAGAGATCTCAGGGTACTTGTTGATAGCAGACTGAATATGAGCCAGCAGTGTGACATGGCAGTCAAGAGGGCGAATGCTACCCTTAGACGTATAACCAGAAGCATGGTTCCAGATCAAGAGAGGTGCTGGAACCACTTTGTAAGACTCTGGTGTGCCCAGAACTGGAGTACTGTGTCCAGTTCTGCACAGCACATTATAAGAAAGACATAGCTAGCTTGGAATGAGTTCGGCGCAGGGTCACAAGGAAGGTAGCTGGATTGTAGGGTGGGATGCCATATGAGATGAGATTGAGGGAGCTGGGTCTTTCTAGCCTGGAGAAGAGACTCAGAGAGGAACTTATAGTGACGTATAGGTATGTGAAGGGGTGTGACCTGTTCTCCTCTGTGCTGGAGGAAAGGATGCAGTCCAATTGGGCAAAGTTCAAGGAATCGGATTTCAGGTTAGATGTTGGTGCCATTCCCAAAATAACACATTTTGTACTGAAATGGTGAACCAATTAATATATATAGTGTAATTTTAAAAATTAATAAATTATTTGTCCTTATTCAAATCACAAGAACTGAACTGGAGTCTCTTGATGAATTGCTCTTCAGCAACTTCTCATTGACATCTATCTTTGAAATTCATTTGTTCAAGAATAGCCACTATGGGGTCATTTATACAGTGGGGGTTTTTTTTTTGGTCCCAACATGCATAATTTGCTTACATTGAACACTATTTGACATTTTATGCCCATTCTCCCTGCCTGGAAAGGTCCATTTGGAGTGTCTCAGAATCCATTTTCTTTTTAACTACCCTAAATAGTTTGGGGTCATCAGCAAACTTGGCCACTTAACATGCTTCCCTCTAATTCCAGGTCCTTTATGAATAGGTTGAAAGGCATCGAACCTAAGGAATTTTGTTGGACCTCATTGTTTACATCTTTCCATTGGGAGAAATTACCATATATTCCCACTTTCTGCTCTTTAAGCAGTTGCTGATCATAAGATAACCTCCACCTCTCATGCCTTATTCCATGTCTGCTAAGTTTGCTTAGGAGTCTTTGGTGAGGGTCTTTGGCCCAAGTAAACAATGTTTATCTAATCTTGCCTGTCCTCATTAAGTCTTGGCAAGAACTAAATGATGAAGGAATGGTAGTAGAATGGGTCCTGTACTACAACCAACCTCAAGATTAAAAAAAGGAAACTCAAACAGGAAAAGGCATAATAAGAAAGCTAATGGATTTTGATGTTATAATCAAACATCAAAAAAGACCTTCCCCTAGGACAAATTTAAACAACTGCTTAAATATGATATTAAGACTCATCACATTAAAACATGTATGAAGAGTTGGATGCAGAACCTTGAAGAAGAAATACTGTCCCATCAGTGGGAAGTCTTATGGATGAAGGATATAAAATTCTCTGCAAGTCAAGCATTAAAAGAAAATTGGTATAAGATATACTTTCAGTGGTATATTACCCCAAAAGATACACAGAAAATGGACAAGCATTGCAATGGAAAATGGTGGAAATGTGAAGAGAGAGATGGTATTTTCCATGTGGTGGATATGTGATAGAATTAAAAGATTCTGGATGCACATAGATAGAGAAATGCAAAAAATACTCAGAACTGATTTTCGTATGAGTGAGAAGAATATGCTACTGAGTATTGTACCAGAGACTATTCCAAAGATTATGATAGTTATATAAATATGATAACAGCAGCAAGAGTAACAATTGCTTTAAAGTGGAAAGCTGAAGATTGTTCAGCTGTTGAAGATTGGGAAAACAAGCTAGCTGAGTAAGCAACAATGGCAAAATTAACTAATTATATTAATAGAAGACCAGTTTAATAATTTACTCAAGGATGGAAAGCTTATTTTGAGCAATTTAATTGCTAAAGAAAATACTTACAATATTTACAAAATACTTACAAAATATTTACAAATGCCAGTGTTATAATTTATAGCTAATTTTATAAACTGGACAAATTTTTGATTGAGAATTGAATGGTTTGGATGGGACTGTGGCTGAGATTTTTGCTTTTCTATGAATGTGCTTAAATGATGATACTACATGTCTACATATCTGTGGATGGAACTTTGGTACCCTTTTCTCCTATATATTTCCTTATTTTTTGTTGTATCTTGTGAAAATACATTTTAAAAGATTTGAAACAAAAAGAAGTCATAAGTGCCAGTTGACTGGAGAAAGGCTAATGTTGTCTCTATCTTCAATAAAGGAAAAAGAAGAACCTGGGAACTACAGACCAGTCTGACATCAATACCTGGGAAAATTCTGAAGCAGATTATGAAGTAGTCAGTCTGCAGACAGGTTGAAAACAATGCAGTGTTTACTAGAACCCAACATATATTTCTTGAAGAAAAAATCTTGTCAGATCTCATCTTTTGATGGGCTTCCCTCCTCTGCCAGTGCCATGTCATGGAGTCAATAGCCATACCCACTTTGTCTGTCTGTAAGAAACTCCAAGCCTCCTCTATTTTGAAAAACTGCCTGCACACCTGGGAAGTCTCACCTTGGGATAAGCATCTTTGCTTCTCTCATTTCAACATCTGAAATTGCCTCACATTCCAAGGCCCCCTACTGCACTTCCTTCTTCTCTGAATTTCAGTCAGTAGGCCTTGAGAATGCATGTCAAGACCAAGTTTCTTTCTTACTTCCAACAGATGATCTGCATCCCAGAGCAATAAAGGAGCTGGCAGAAGAACTCTTAGAACCACTGTCTATTATTTTTGAGAAATTGTGGAGGTCAGGAGAAGTGCCAGATGACTGGAAGAGGGCTTATCTTCAAAGTGAAAAGTCTCTATCTTCAAAAAAGGGCAAAAAAGGAGGATCCTGGGTAATACAGACAAGTTAGTCTAACATCAATCTCTGGGAAAAATCTAGAGCAGATAATGAAGAAGTCAATTTGTAAGACCCTTGAAGACAATGCAGTAATTACTAGAAGCCTGGATTCATTAAGAACAAGTTTTGTCAGATCAATTTGATTTAATTGTTTGATTGGGGGACCTCCCTTGTGGAGTGTAGGAATGCTATAGACATAATATCTTGACTTCAGCAAAGCTTTTGCTTCATGACTTGCAAACTAGCTAAAAGTGGGCTAGATGGAACATTTCTCAGGTGGTTCCACAGTTGGGTAGAGAATTGGACTCAAAGAGAAAGGCATCAATGGCACCTTCTCAGACTGGGGAGAGGTAACAAAACAAGGAATGAATTTCAGTAGGGACAAATGCTAAGTTCTGTACCTACAGAAAAGAAACCAAGTGCATTGCTATATGATGGGCTCAACAATAGCTCAACAATACCACACATGGGAAGGACCTTGGAATTGTTGTAGAAACATAGAAACAGAGCAAGTCAGAAGGGGTCTCCCGGGCCATCTAGTCTGACCCCCGGCTCCAGTCGGCTCCACTCACAACATGCCTACCATCTGCATGTCCAGCCTATCTTTGAACACCCTCACCAGTGGGGCCTCAACCACCTCCCATGGAACCCCATTCCATACCCTCAGGGTCCTGACAGTCAGGAAGTGCTTCCTGGCATCTAAATGGAACCTTGGTTCCCTGAGCTTTGCTCTGTTGGAGCATGTCCTGCCTTCCTCTGCAGGGGAGAACAGGTCTCTACCCACCTCCGTGTGACATCCCCTCACATACCTGTATGTTGTGAACAGATCCCCTCTGAGTCTCCTCCAGGCTGAAGAGACCCAATTCCCTCAGTCTCGCCTCCCCTGCAAACTGGTCACCAACCTTGTGGCCCTACGCTGCACTGACTCTAACCTGGCTATATCCCTCCTGTAATAAGGGGCCCAAAACTGAAGACAATACTCTAGTTGCAGGTGCACCAGAATTGAATAGAGTGGTAGTAATACCTCTCTTGATCTAGAAGCCACACGTCTGGCTATGCAACCAAGGGTTGCGTTCACTCTCTTAACCACCCCATCACACTGCTGACTCATGTTTAGCCTGCAGTCAACCAGCACCCTGAGGTCCCTTTCACAAGTGCTGCTCTCCAGCCACTTGTCCCCTAACCTGTACTTATGACACCTATTCCTGTGCCCCAAGTGCATGACCTTGCACTTATCCACATTGAACACCATCCTGTTGTCTCCTGCCTACTTCCATAGTCGGTCCAGATCCTTTTGGATCTGGAGTACCGGTTCCTCAATTGTAGCCACTGCCCCAGTTTTAGTATTGTCTGTGAATTTGATCAGCAGACTGTTCACTGCTTCTTCCATCTCATTGATGAAAAGATTAAACAGGATCAACTCCAGGACAGAGCCCTGGGGGACCCTGCTTGTTACTAGCCACCATGCTGATGATTCCCCACTAATGGTTACCCCCTGCTTTTGGTCAGTCAACCATGCCCTAATCCACTGGACAGTGCTTTATTGTATCCCAAAACTCCTCAGTTTCTCCACCAGGATATCATGGGGCACTTTGTCAAAGGCCTTGCTGAAATCCAGGTAAACCACATCCACTGCATCCTCTCCATCTAGCTGCCTTGAAACCTTGTCATGCAATTCCACAACGTTTGTCTGGCAGGACCTGTTATTGCGGAAACCATGTTGTGTGGCCGCCAGCCTCCCTTCCCTATCTAGCATCACTAGATCTCTTGCTATTATGAGCCTTTCCATTGTTTTTCCTGCAATGGATGCAAGGCTAACTGGCCTGTAATTCCCCATGTCCCTTCTACTACCCTTTTTGAAAATTGGGACCACTGATGCCACCCTCCAGTCCTCTGGAACTTCACCCCGTTCTCCACGAGGCCTTAAAAATGGAGGCCAGCGGGCATGAGAGAACACCTGCCAACTCTCAAAGTACTCTCGGGTGTAACCCATCAGGACCTGGCGCCTTTGTAATGTCCAATGGCCTGAGGAGCCCCTCAACTTCTAGGGAGGTGACTCTAATCTGTGCCCCTAAGTTTCTGGCCTCATCTAATCTCCTCTGCAGTTCTCCCCCGTCCTGCTTTGGGGAGAACACAGAGGCAAAATACTCATTTAGCATCTGTGCCTGTTCCCTCATATCAGTCACTGGCTCTCCTTCCTCCTTATTTAGTGGTCCCACTACTTGTCTCCCCTTCCTCTTTTTATTTACATGCTGATAGAAGCCTTCCCCTCTTTTTTTGCTCTTGATATTCTTGGCAAGTCTCAGCTTGTAATCAGCCTTAGCCTTGCGAAGAATCCTTCTGCAATGAGCCTCCTCTTCCCAGTATACCCTTTTGTTATTTGCCCCAGTACCCATTTCCTACGAAGGTTACCCTTGCATCTAATCCCTCTAACCACCTCCTTTTGCCTCCATGGTGGTGCGCTCCTTCACCTCCCCACCTTACTAACTAGAGGTATCGTCAAGGCTTGCACCTCCAAAACCTCCCCCCTTGTCGCCTCTCGGACCCTCTATGTGAAAAGCCCTCCCTCTATAACTTCTAGGAAGCGACATGACCTGGCTGTCACTGCTGAATGAGTCTCCCAACTAATGCCCAGGAGATTGAAATCTTCCGTAATTACTGTGTCCCTCCCCTGAGATATCCTTAGAATCTGATCTGTCAGGACATCATACAGGGTCTCAAGTTGACCTGGAGGGCGATAACATACCCCCACTGTCAGGTCTCTTTCCCTGTCAAAACTCCTAAGTTTCACCCTGTCTGCCTCTACTGAATCCCCATCTGTGCTGCATTCTATCTCACTGCATCCTCTCCCTTCCCTGACATATAAAGCTATGCCCCCACCCCCTTTCCCTTCCTGGCCTTTCTAAACAGGTGATACCCCTCTATGTTTACATTGCAGCTGAATGTAGATCACAAACTGAATGTGTCAACAAGGTGATGCGGCTGGAAAAAAAAAAAGCAAAGCTTAGATTGGGTTGGATTAATGGAAATCTCACTTCTAGATCATGCAAAGTTTTAGTTCTGTTTTACTCAGTACTGTGTTATGCCAGGTAATTTTGGGGAGCAATACATCTCAAAAGGTATATTACAACTGGTTAGGCCTCATCTGGAGTTCATCCAGTTCTGTGCACCACAGTTTAAGAAAGATGCAGTGAACTGAAAAGGGTTCATAGGAGGACAACAAGGAAAATCTGGGGATTGGAAACAAAGCCTTATGAGGAGAGATTGAAAGAACTGGACATGATTAGCCTTGAGAAGAGAAGACTGAGGGAAGATAATGGTAGCACTCTTCAAATATTTTGAAGGTTGTCAAAAAGAGGAAGGCCATGATCTCTTCTCAGTCATCGCAGAGGACATCTCAGGACATGGAATAATTGTCTCAAATTACAGGAAGTCAGATTCTGTCTTGACACTTTATACTTGACACCTGGAGGAACCTCCTAACTGTTAGAGCAGTATATCAATGGAACCAATTACTTAAGGAGATTGTACACTCTCTTATACTAGAGGCATTCAAAATGTATGTGGACAGCCATCTGAGAGGGACTGTTTAACTTAGAATCCTCTACTAAAAAGAGGGTTGGACCCTATGGCCGTCTTGGTCTCTTCCAACTCTAGTATTCTATGATTTTATGCTACCATGTGGTAGGTATACTATCTTAGCTTCTATTTATCAGAAGTAAATTTTGTGTAAACATTTGAAGAAATTTATTTATTATTTATTTAAAACATTTTTATGCCGTCCCATTCGCTGAAGCCGAAATGGATATTAAATCTGACAACATTTTGGTCAGTGTTTCCAATCAGTTCAGCAACATTTACACTGTATATGTACTAACTTCTAGGATTAGGACACAACCCCTCCTAGGATTAAATCCAGAGAAATTTAACCACTTTGTCAGAACTGGAGCACACATTTATCCAGTCAACATGGGGGTAGTTGAAGTCACTCATTATTACAGAACTTCATTTTATGAAGTTGCCATTGATGAGCACTCTTTGTGTCTGATTTAAGCAGCCAATTTTAGCACCCACCTAATAGTTTTTCCATCCAATTTTTGCTAATTTGCTTATCAGAATGTCGTGTGGCACTATGTAAAAAGCTTTACTAAAGTCTAGGTAGATTATGTCCACAGTGCTCCCTCTGTCCATTTGGGAGGTTACCCAGTCAAAAAATGAGATTAAATTAGTCTGACAGGATTTATTTTTGATAAATCCATGTTGGCTTTTATTAATCACTGCATTTTCTTCAAGTTGCTTGCAAATTGATTTTTTTAAATTTGCTCCAGAATTTTTCCAGGGTTTGATGTCAGACTAACTGATGTGTAGTTTCCAGGTTCATAATTTTCCTGATTTTTGAAGATAGGGACAACATTAGTCCTTCTGTTTTCCAAGATTTATCAGCCAGGATATCATGTGGCACTTTGTCATAAGCCTTGCTAAAAACCAGGACTGTGGTCCCTCCATCTAGCCACCTCGAAACTTTGTCATAAAATTCTGCAGGGTTCATCTGGCAGGACCTGTTTTTGTGGAAGCCGTGTTGTATGGCCACTAGATCTCTTGCTATTATGAATCTTTCCATCAGTTTTTGTAGAACTGGATGTAAGGCTAACCAGCCTGTAATTCCCCATGTCCCCTCTACTACCCTTTTTGAAAATTGGACCACTGACGCCACCCTCCAGTCCTCTAGAATCTCACCCTCCAGTATTCCCTGATACCGGCACCCTGTTTGTAGGAGTCCTGCCAGCTCCTGCAGTACCTCTAACATGCTGGTCCCAAAATCCTGGTCCTCTCCTTTCACTTGTCCAATCAGGACAAGTTTCTTAGGAGCCTGAACCCAACTCCCCCTGCTCAGTTTAAAACCTTCCGGACAAAGCTCACTAGACTTTTACCCCATCCTTGTGAGGTGTGCCCTGTCCCTTGCCAGAAGTCCATTGCAAGAAACCGGGTGGTGTGGTCAAGGAACCAAAGCGTTCCTTCTGACATCACACCCTGAGCCAGTCATTCACCTCTGCAACCCTCTTTTCCCTGGCTGGCCCAAATATCCAGAGAGGCAAGGTAGAGGAAAAGGCCACTGGTTCCTTTATGTCCCTGGGTTCTTGCCCAGAGCCTCAAAGTCCCTAGCAATTCAGCCCACCCCCTGCCTGATGGTGTCATTCGTCCCCAAGTAGATCACCAGAAGTGGCTGGTGACCCCATCCCCCTGAGGGAAGAAGACACTCCAGTCTGTCTGTCATGTGCCGGATACATGAGCCTGGCAGGCAGCAGACCTCCCAAGTCAGGACAGTACACCGCCACCTCAGTGCCCCTTAGGAGGGGCTCCCTGATGATGATCACCCTTCTCTGTCTCTTCCTAGTGATGATAGATGGCCATGCCTTGGCCTTCACCACTCCTGCAGTGGCTCCCTGGCCGCATCTGGTCCCAGGCAGGAGATCCTGGACAGGTTGGTCCCCCAGGTCCTCATCAGCCCCAGCCTCCCCTTTCATAAGACATACTCATGTGTTTAATATGACTTGTATATTTAATGTTTCAGACTGTAGCCTCAATTCTTAGCAAGAGCCATTTCTGCAAAGAGGCTGCTGTAAAATATGATGCAAGACTTCGAGAACGGGTAGGTATAAAAGTGTGTTCATTTTTTAACAACCTATCAGGAGTAACATGGGTTAGTGAGCAAATAGCCAACCCGAGGTGTAATTTCAGAGGGGTTAACCATGTTTTAGATAAATGTGGTGTATTCAATTCATATTTACTGTAATTTTGTATTTGATAGAAGTCTAAGGAGTGACTGGCAACAGAGTGACTTAAGAAAGACTGCACTGTTTTATCTAATTCTGCTTCCAGGGTGGACTTAAGTGTAGCAGACAGCTGCCCAAGTTTCCCCTCTCCCATGGCTAACTGGGCTAAAAAATCTGTCCAGACCCTCCCTGGTCCTGAACCCAGGATCAGACACTGGATTCAGCACATGGCAGTCCAAGCCTTGGGGTAGAGGAATTTATTAAAAGGCTAAAAGATAGAGGCAGACAGTACTAAAACAGCGAAAACACCTGAGTACCAAATGCACACGTTAAAGGGAGGGGAAGAAAAGGGGCAGTTGGAGAGCAGCACTAATACACTTCATAGTCAATCGCAGTCCCCAAGCCCCAGGCCCAATTTGCCCCCTGGACACAAAATAGCAATGCTTTGCCTAGCCTAGCTATACACAGATACTAAATCAGTCATAGCAATCAAATACACAGGGTAGCACAATGTTCTTTGACCCAACCTTTGGCAGCAAGTGTGGAACCTCTTTTCAAAGAGGTACCCTGAGCCCCTGTATGCTCTCTTCTTTTATTCCCCATCATTGATCAGATAGCATGTGACAGTGCATGATAAGTGAGGACAATTTGTCATTATGGCCACCCAATCTCCTGTCCTGTCCTTGGAAGTGTGAATTCCTCTGTCCTTGGGTGTTATTTATAGTGTCTTTGCCTTCTGCCTTCCCAGAGTTTCTCTGGCCCTCCTGTGGCCCTGGGCACTGGCGTCTCCTTAAACAAACACCTAGCAATCCTAACATTTTGCCCTGATTGTCTGTTAAGTCTTCCTTCTTGGGTAGAGCCTTTAACCAGTTCACATCATATTAAGCTTTGTTTTATAAGAAGCAAATACAAATAGGTCCTTGATGTCTCCAATTCTATAGCATAAGATATGGTTGTACCCTTGTTAATCTCAGTATTCGTTGAGTTTAAAAATGTTCTAAAATTATGATATTTGAGGTGGAAGATTGGATTTGATGGGATGCTGCATATACTTACTGCCTGTACTCAGGCTATGCATTGCAACTGCTAGGCTACAGTAGCCAGGTATCTGAAATCATCCCCTGGATTATTTTTGTATTTTCAACTATTATTTTTTCAAGTCACTTGAGACTTCTAATTACATCCTTCTTCGAGAGAGGAAAACTGAAAAAGGATTGGAGATTACAAGCTTTTCTTTGAAAAGGTCTTTTTATTTAACTGTTGTTTTAAAAACTAATTTAAATGTTTAATGTTTAACAGTTGCTTTTATTTAACTTATATATTTGTATTTTATGGTTAATTGTTATTTATTGCTGTTTTATTGTGGTTGTTTTAATGATTGTAAGCCATCCTGAGATGCCATGCAAAAGGGATGGCATACAAAGGTTTTAAATGAATGAATGAATGAATGAATGAATGAATGTATTGGGTGGCTCTCATAGTAGGATTGGTAAAGAAGTTATGGTCATATATGCTTCAATTTGAACAAATTATAAGTTCCTGCCTTATAACAAAAAATAGCTGACTTTCCAATAGGTTTAACAGAAATATCCCTGGGGTGAGTTTCTCTACCCATATAAACCTATTCTGAAAAGTGGCCACAGTAAATTAGTTGTGAATCAGGTATCTGAGGTTGCTTCCCCCGCACATAGAAACAGTCACTTAGGGGTATTCCCTTTACCTCTGTATTCTCCAATGAGAGATAATTCTTTCTCTCATCTTCTAAGAGCAAGGGAATTATCTGCTGAAGTTGACAGGCTTCATAGTAAACTTGCCTGTTCAGTATGTCTCATTCATTGCTCTTGTGGAGCATTTAGATAGAGAAAGATTGCACTAATTCTTGGTGTTATGTAGCAAAAATAAAGGAATTATTTTTTCTGCCATTTATTCAAATGTTTTTTGGGGGATCTCAACTTGGAGTGTTTGAAAAGAAACATCAGCCAAGGGAGGACTATATGTAATTTTCATTATCATCAATCTGCTGATGAAATTCAAGGATAATACTAAGATGGGGGTGGTGGCCACAAATGAGGAGCAGGTACTCCGGATCTGGAAGGATCTGAACAGACTATGAAAGTGGGCAAGGGGTAACAGGATGGCACTTAATGAGGCTAAGTGCAAAGTCTTGCACTTGGGGCATAGGAATGGGTGTCAATAAGTACAGGTTAAGGGCCAAGTGGCTGGAGAGCAGCACTTTTGAAAGGGATCTCAGGGTATTGGTTGACTGCAGGCTAAACAGGAGTCAGCAGTGTGACACAACAGTCAAGAGGGCAAGTGCCACAATTGGTTCCACATCCAGAAGCGTGGCTTCTTGTTTGAGAGAAGTATTACTGCTACCCACTAGTGTCCACAACTGGATTACTGTGTTCAGTTCTGGGCTCCACATTACAGGAAGGATATAGCTAGCTAGAAATCAGTGCAGCAAAGGGCCACAAGGATGGTGGCTAGATTGCAGGGAAAGCCATATGAGGTGAGACTGAGGGAGCTGAGTCTTTTCAGCCTTGAGACGAGGAGACTCAGAGGGGACCTGTTAGCGAGATACAGGTATGTGAGGGGGTGCCACGCAGAGGTGGGTCATGACCTTTTTCCCCCCGGTAGTGGAGGGCAATGATTCCAACCTTGCTACATCCCTCTTCAACTCCTTTGTCTTCCAGTACCCTCTCCCAGGAGACTTTTCCCAGTTTGGTCTTCAATTTGACCAAAGTTGGCCCTTGTAAAGTCCCAGCTTCTAATATTTGACCTGTTACTCATTCCCATTCCCCTGATCTCAAAGCAAAGGATGGGGTGATCAGTCACATCCAGAGCTCCCCTAATCTGCACCCCATCTATCAGCTCCTCCCTGTTGGCCAAAGATATCCCCCCCCCCCAGTTGCCTCCAGGTTTCTCTGCATCAAAAACCCTCCCTCTACAGTGTCTAGGAAGTGACGTGACCTGGCCATCACTACCAAGTGAGACTCCCAACTAATATCTGGGAGACTGAAAACTCCCATAATTACTGTTTCCCTCCCCCAAGTTATCCTTCGAATCTGTTCTGTCAGGGCATCGTCCAGGGTCTCAATTTGACTTAGAGGGTGATAACATACCCCCACTGTCAGGTCCCTCCCCCTGTCCAGAGGGAGGCTGCTCCAGGGTGGCCTGGGAAGCTCTCTCGGCTCTCAGGCTCCTCACTTCCTCCTCTAGGAGGGACACCAGCTTGCACTGAGGGCAAGTGTATCCCTGCCTCTGCTGAGGGAGAAGGGCAAACATGACACAGCTGTCACAGCAGACAGCAACACACGTGATTCCCGCCATGGCCATCTCTTGGCCTGACATAGGGCACCCCTTGCAGGATCTGCCTTCTCCCCCTGCCTTGTTTATTTTGCACTACCCTTTCCTGACTTTACATGTCTAGTTCTTCCAGACCAAGAAGAAGAAGACTGAGAATTTTGAAAAAAAGAAAATATTAAAAATTTACAAAGTCCCAGAGGAAGAGAGTCCCTGAGCAGCCCGGGCCACAGCTAAGGGACGCAGACACTGGGACGATGCCTTTCTTGTGTCACCCTTAGTGCATTACCTGTTGGCACTGTGCCAATGGCTGCACAGGGCCTCAAATAGTCCTCACTGCCAGCTGGCAGCTCGCCCTGCCCACTACGCGCCTCTCCCATGTGTGCTGGGCCTGCTAGGCCTCCCCTGCCCTGTAGCCCAGTGCTTACCTCCTTCCCAGAACCCTCATGGCTTGCGCACCCGCACCCTCCCCTGCTTCACTTGGCTGCCCGGCTCTGCTGCTGTTGCTAATCCCTCTCCAGGCCCAAGACTTGATAGAAAGATGAAGATTTTAAAAAGATGAAGAAAAATTAAAATCCAGAGGAAGGCAACAAAAATGATCCAGTGTTTGTAAACACTGCCCTGTGAGGAAAGACTGAGAGAACTGGGTATGTTCAGTCTCGAGAAGAGAAGTGAAGCGAAGCGAAGCTGAACAGGGACATGATATCAAAGCAAACACTTTTTAACTTAAGGGCAGGGTAATCACTAAGGCCGTAATCTTAATTCTGTAAGGTTGCAGTTTGTATGTGCTTGAGTTCTGGGCTTAGCTTGGGGAATTTTACTTCTTTTTTTTAGTCCTACATTCTTTCATTGACATCCCTCATTGACGTATAGAAGATGTTGGGCCATCTTCAACCAGTTCTTCTTCTGTCTCTGTTTAGACAATTCCTTAGTTAGCATCAGGTACGAAGCCCATTTGTACTATATCAGCTTTTTTCAGTCTAACTGTGATTTCAGTTTCAGTTCTTTCCATTTATGCAGAGATTTGTAAGAGAGATTTTTTAAAAAAAACTCCAGCACTACTGGATTTTTACTAGGTCTCTAAAGGTATGCTATACCTTCTCATTTTTCTTAAAGGAGGCAAAACAAATTATTACATCTCTTGCAAGGGCAGTTTCTTTAGGTTTAGTCCTGGGGGTTCTAGGTGCTATCGCAGAATCATCTACCAGTAATTCCAGTGTTACGAATGACTTAAACCAAATAACAGTACATTCTAGTTATTCTGGTACATTCCTATTTGGTGCCCTTTTTGATCATGTGTAAGTGGATGCTAGCCCATCTTATTCTTTCCTTGGCTTCTGCTAACTTTGCTTTAATTTCCCATTTCTCCCTTTGTCATTTTTTCAACCATTCATCTTGTAAAAGTGGCCAAAGCAGTTTCTGCTATTCTTTTTAATTTAGAGGTCAGTGTACCAATCTTGTTCTGCAAAGGGGTAATCAAATCCTGTGTATCTTTTAAGCCTGTTCTAAGGGAGGCAGATTGATTTTACATTTTCCATGGAAATTTTCAACTCACCAATATCTGTCACCATAATGGATTTTTTACCAGCTTTCCCTCCTCTTAATGCCACTTAAAATTAGCTTTAAAATATGCAGTTATGCTTGTAATTTTAGTATGAGGAAATAAAAGCAAATGAGTTCTAGGATTGAAAATTTGCTTTTCACTGGAGCTCACTTTACAGCCATCTTCTTGGTCATCTGGCCATATTCCCCGGTCTGCTAGGTTTTCTCAAAAGGCCCATTCACATATTGATGACCTTCTGTTAAATAGTGAGGGTTAATTCAACACCAAAACTGACAAGGCAAAGGATATGGTGCAGAAGGTAATGAATGCTTTCAGGCATGTGAGCATGGCCCAACAGTCCTTGTCATCCTAGTCCTTTGTTATGTGCCATCAAGTCATCTCCAGCTTATGGTGACCCTAAGGATGAATGCCCACGAAAATGTCCTGTCATTCACAGCCTTGCTCAGCAAGTCTAAACACAAACTGTGGCTTCCTTTATAAGGTTGTTCCATCTCATATTTGGTGTTTCTTCTGAAAATCCAAAAATTTCCCAATTTCACAGCAATTGGGGCATTGCTGCATTAGCTTTCTTCCCATCACTCTCTGCATCGGTTGAATTCTTAGTTGCTCACGCACCTATTAAGCACCGGCATTTTGCAAGTCCAATACAGAAAAATTTTACCAGTCACTATGTTTGTTCTTTTGTTTTGAGGGGCTGTGTAAAGGATTACTGGTCTTGTTTTACAGAAGTTTTCTTGTTTTTAAGTTGAGTTAGCAGGTTTCCATGTTTCAGTTCTGATCCAAGTCCATTCTACTTGAGCAATGGTTATTCTGCACACTGTTCCTTCAGATACACTTTCCTTTCATCTGTTTTGTGATAAGGTACTGAACCTCTGTCGGAGTGCCTGCTCCGACAATCGGCGCGAGAGAGTTCAGAGAGAGAAATAAAACACCGCAGACGAGAGATAAAGTTTCAAAGCATGCTCGGTTGAGTACTCCGGAGAACAAAGAAGTTCTTCTTTAGGAATTCTTCCTAAAATGTCCTCTTAAAGATGTCCTCCTAAAGATGTCCTCCTTCCTCACCACCGGCAGCCCCTTTTTATTATTTCACAGATTGTTACATTTGTACTTGCCTACACCAATCGCCATCGAGTTAATCAGCCAACTCCCTAATCATTGTGCGCAAGCGCAGGATTCAAAATGCTTACTGATTGCTTATGCGCAGGCGCAGGAAACAGGAAGCATACTTATTGCTATATATGGTCACAAGCCTTATATGGTTACACAGGTGAAGTACAATGCTATTGGCTGGGTAAGTTGCAATACTACTGGCTGAGCGTAGCGTGCCTAGCTACAGCATGAATGCGGCGAGGCAGGGATGAATTCCCACAAACCTCCTTTGATCAGTCACCTTTTTATTTGCCTGTGTGATGCACAGCAACCACAAAGGAGAAAGAGAGGTTGCTTACCTGTAACTGTAGTTCTTTTAGAGGTCATCAGTGCACACATACAGTCCACCCACCATCTTCATTTTGCTGCCTTTGGTTCTAAACCTGTATTTAGCAGTTGAATAGGAGATTAAAGAACAGGTAGGAGCATGTTCAGGGCATGTATATTGGGATGGTAGGGCCCGAACATTCCTGAATGGAGCTTGAACAGGCATGGAGTCCATATGTGTGAGTGGGCAGAAGATCACTTGAAGAACTAATGTTGCTGATATTTGAGCCAGCCAACTTTTGGCAAAGTCCATATGAATCGTATTTATAATATTAGTTTGCTAGGGCCATCTTTCTACATAGGGGGATGAATTAATGATCCTGTGATACCATGCACCACACTTTATATTTGATACGCATCATAGTCATTAAATATGCCACCATTTTCTTACAGAAATATGGAGTGGCAGAAGGGAAGCCTCTGAGTGATCTCAAGTTTATGGCTAAAGTTTCTGGAGAACAGTGCCCCTATTTTACACCTGCTGGAGGTGAAACATTAGATGAAGTAAGTATCATTTCTAATTTGCCTTTTGTTGTCCAGCCATGAAAAAACATTAGAAATTTGTTTGTTTGTTTGTTTGTTTTGTTTCATTAACAAGTCTAGCCTGTATTTTGCCTGGGCTATTACCTAACAAAAATGTGTTTTGCATTTTGTGATTGTGTTAGTTGAAGAAACCTCTAGCTCAGTGATGGTGAACCTTTTAGAGACCAAGTGCCCAAACTGCAACCCAAAACCCACTTACTTATCACAAAGTGCCAACACTGCAATAAAACCTGAATACTGAGGTTTTAGTTTAGAAAAAACAACTCACAGCCAGTCCAAGCAAATATATATATATCCTTGGCAGCGCACTGACCGGCCATGCAAAAGCTTGGATGAGTCGTGGCTAATGAGTTGTGGCTCGTGATGTCATCACCTGGCGCCACTACTTCTTTCCGAGCATGCACATGGCCCCCATGTGCTCTGTTATCCAATGCTCGGCTGCTGGGTGATGCTGGGGTGACTTGGCTCACATGCCGACAGAGAGGGCTCCGCGTGCCTGCTGCAGCACATGTGCCATAGGTTCACCACCAGTGCTCTAGCTAAATGATGATATCACTGTTGCCACTGGATCCCCTGTTGTCATTGGCTGAGCTGGTTTGATTCCAAGGGACAGTAAGGCAGGCCGAAGGACCTAAGAGAAGAGGGATTGAAAAAGCAGGTGCCTAGGAATGGAAAGAAATAAGACAGCAGAAGGAGATTCGCCTGGTGCACTCTTTATACTCGTTTTGGCGCCAGGCAAAGACCCACTTTTTAAAAAACATTTTAATATCTGATGCCATGAACCTTTATTTGTATTTTATCTGTATTTTAATTGATGTTGTTTATGGATTTTAGGGGGTTTTAGTTGTATAATCAGTTTTTATAATGGTTTTTAATTGGATTGTGAACCACGTAGAGATGCTATGGCGCAATTGGCAATACAAATGTTTTAAATAAATAAAACCAGAAGAGAAAATCCGAAAGGAGTGAAACTGAAGAAGAGATTGGTAGATTGGTCTGTGAATGGTCAGAAGTGTAGCAGTGAAGAAAATACCATTACCATGGTATTTTCCATTCTGAAATACAACCATGAAAAGTGTTGGTTGTAGGCTTCTAGTCAATGGAGGCTGCTGCCCATTATTTCTGGTGGGGCTAATAGTAAGCAAAGTCAGAAGGGTCACAGTAATAAGAGAAAACTAGTTCATTCTTTCCTCTCATCCTTCCTCTTCACTTGCAAAGACCCTATGGGCACTTTAAGGAAGCACTGCAATTACATGACATTTAACGATTTTGTACCTTCTGTTGGTGCTAGAAGAAAACACTTCTTGCAGTCCTTTCATTCTTCAGTTTGGTACATTACTGCTTAAAAGTGTTTTTCTCCAAAATGTTTACAAGTGTAAATTTCCAGCAAGACTTAACTTTGAATAAAGGTGTTCTGATGAACAAAGCAAAGGGCATGGGGAAAGCAATCTTATAAAATATGTAGCAGCAACTCACAGTACAGATAATAAAATAAGGAAACTTTTGAGATCAAGCCTGCTAAGAAGGGAGTTGGAAGGGAGAGATTCACCTCTCATACAGCAACACACAAAACCTTCCACAGCAGCTACCCACTGAACAGAAAAGGAGAATTAAGAAGGGAAATGATTTTTAAAATTAGGAAATAAACTTGTAAAAGAAATGGCAAGTGTTTGGTACCTTCTAAGGTAGTTTGTAAAATAAAAACATTTGGGGGGGATAAGCATTGGATGCTGTGCATATATTCTGCATTTGCTCACATTACTCCAATCTGCCAATCTGAAAGGGAAAAAATAAATTAGCTGTTTCCTATCGTCGGACACCAATTGTAACACAAAGAAACACAAGTAAAATGAAGTGACATTATATCAGCCTACTGGCTGGATGCTGCTTCCTTCCACTGTATGGATTCCATTCCATTTTTTTTTCTCTCTCTCTCTCACACACACACACACACACACACACTCACGTAATCTCAATATATTAATAATACGGAGGAGCCAAGGCTCAGTGCTCACTTGTGTGTCCACCGTGTTTTCTTCTCCCATGGACTGGGCTCAGTCCATTGAGGTGTTTTCTGCAAGTGCGTGATCTATATCTATATATCATCTATATCTATCTTCTACCTCAGATGAGCTTAAATACGCAGTAAACAATATATTAAGCACTGCAAATACAAAATGCAGCATATGGTACAAATAATAAATAAAAGTAACAAATAATGCAACTTCTAATTTACATTTATTTTTAAATTTATAGGCCACTGAATAACCTGACAGGGCTCTCTGTGGCAAACAACATGATGTAAGACATTACAATTCCTAGTGGGGGGAACCCAATTGCTGGTAGCAGAATGAGATTTTATGTGCAAGTTGTTAACATTAGGCCTCAAAATACCTACGGAAATGGGCAATTTTTGCCTTGGACAGAAACGAAAGTTATGATGGCACCTGGCAAACGTCTCTGGGAAGCACATTCCAGAGGTGGGGGGCAGCCACCAAAAAGGCCCATCTTCTAATCTCCATCTCTTTTACTTCCTTAAGGGATGGCTCTTTCAGAAGGAACTCATGCCCTGATCTCAATGGGTGGGTAGGTATATATGGGAAAAGCTAACCCTTCAAGTAACCAGGTCCCAAGCAAGTGTTACCCGGTTGGGAAAAGACGGCCCTTCAAGTAATAAGATCCCAAGCCATTTAGGGCTTTCTTTGCTATAAAAAGCATTTTAAACTGGGCCTGGGTTTCAACAGGTAGCTAGTTTAATTTATATAGAATAGGTGTTATATGGGTTCATGAACTGATACTTGACACCAAACATGAAGCCCTGTTTTGGACAAGTAGAAGTCCCAGGCCTTCAAAGGAAGCCCTATGTAGAGTTGTTGTTGTTGTTATTAGTTGCAAAGTCGCGTCCAACCCATCGCAACCCCATGGACAACATTCCTCCAGGCCAGGGGTCCTCAAACTTTTTCAATAGGGGGCTAGTTGAAAGGCGGCGGCAACCTGCGCAGGCCGGTGAGGAGGGGGTACCTGGGTGCGTGGGCCGGTAAGGCGGCATTGAGCATGTGAGAGGTGGCAGTCCCCATCTGCAGTGATCTTGGAGACCAGGAAAATAAAATCTGTCACTACCCCCATTTCTTCCCCATCTATTTGCCAGGAAGTGATAGCACCGGATGCCATGATTTTAGTTTCTTAATGTTGAGTTTCAAGCCAACTTTAGTGCTCTTCTTTTTCACCTGCATCAAGAGGCTTTTTATTTCCTCTTCACTTATTATCTGCATATCTGAAGTTGTTGATATGTCTCCCAGCAATCTTAATTCCAACTTGTGATTCATCTAGCCCCGCCTTTCTTATGATGTGCTATGCATATAAGTTAAATAGGCAGGGCAACAGTATACAGCCTTGCTGAACTCCTTTCTCAATTTTGAACTAATTGGTGGTTCCATGTCCAGGTCTCACTGTTGCTTCTTGACTCACATAGAGGTTTCTCAAGAGACAAATAAAATGGTCTGGCACTTGCCACAATTTGTTGTGATCCACACAATCAAAGGCTTTAGCATAGTCCATGAAGCAGAAGTAGATGTTTTTCTGGAACTCCCTAGCTTTCTCCATGATCCAGCGTATGTTGGCAAATTTATCTTAGTTCCTCTGCCTCTTCGAAACCCTGCCTGTACTTCTGGTAGTTCTCAGTCCACATACTGCTGGTGCCTAGCTTGTAGGATTTTGAGCATAACTTTGCCAGCATGTGAAATGAGTGCAATGGTGTGGTAGTTTGAACATTCTTTGGCATTGCCCTTCATTGGAATAGGAATGGAAACTGACCTTTTCCAATCCTGTGGGCACTGTTGAGTTTTCCAAATTTGCTGGCATATTGAGTATAGCACTTTTACTGCATCGTCTTTTAGGATTTTGACTAGCTCAGCTGGAATACTGTCTCCTCCACTAGCTTTGTTGTTGCTCAGACTTCCTAAGGCCCATTTGACTTCACATTCCAGGATGTCTGCCTCGAGGTCAGTGACCACCCCATCGTGGTTATCAGGGATGTTAAGCTCTTTCTTGTATAGTTCTTCTGTACAATCTTGCCACCTCTTCTTAGTCTCTTCTGCCTCTGTTAGGCCCCTGCCATTTTGGTCCTTTATTATGCCCACCTTTTCATGAAATGTTCCCTTCATATCTCCAGTTTTCTTGAAGAGATCTCTGGTCCTCCCTGGTCTATTGTTTTCTTCTATTTCTTTGCACTGTTCATTTAAGAAGGCATTCTTATCTCTTCAAGCTATTCTCTGGAATTCTGCATTCAGTTGGGTGTATCTTTCTCTTTCTCCCTTGCCTTTCGCTTCCCTTCTTTCCTCAGCTATTTGTAAAGCTTCCTCAGACAGCCATTTTGCTTTCTTGCATTTCTTTTTCTTTGGGATGGTTTTACTTGCTGCCTCTTGTACAGTGTTGCAAACCTCCATCCATAGCTCATCAGGCATTCTATCAGATCTAATTCCTTAAATCTATTTGTTTCCTCTACTGTATATTCCTCAAGAATATGATTTAGGCCATACCTGAGTGGCCTAGTGCTTTTCCCTACCTTCTTAAATTTAAGCCGCAATTTTGCAACAAGAAGCTCATGATCTGAGCCACAGTCAGCTCCTGGTCTTGTTTTTACCGACTGTTATAGAGCTTCTCCATCTTTGGCTGCAGAGCACATAGTCAATCTGATTTCTGTGTTGACCATCTGGTGATGTCCATGTGTAGAGTCATCTCTCAGGTTGTTGGAAAAGAGTGTTTGCTATGACCAGCATGTTCTCTTTACAGAATTCTACTGTGTCCTGCTTCATTTTGTACTCCAAGGCCAAACTTGCCAGTTATTCCTACTTTAACATTTCAATCCCCCATGATGATGAGGACATCGTTTTTTGGTGTTATTTCTAGAAGGTGTTGTAGGTCTTCGTAGAACTGGTTAACTTCAGCCTCTTCAGCATCAG